ACCTTCTTTTTTTTTTTTTTGAGTTGGAGTCTCACTCTGTCGCCCAGACTGGAGTGCAATGGCCGCTCCCGGCCACCGCAGCCTCGACCTGCTGGGCTCCGGCGATCCTTCTGCCTCAGCCTTCCACGTAGCCAGAATTACAGGCATGCGCTACCATGCCCGGCTGATTTTTTGATTTATTGTAGAGATGAGGTCTCGCTGCCCAGGCAGGTCTCGAACCCGTGGGCTCAGGCAATCCACTCACCTCAGCCTCCCAAAGGCGCGGGATTACAGGCTGAGCCACCGAGCCTGGTTGAGACCTTCTAATGTCTGTCCATATTGTCACAGCCCTTAGAGAAGAGCACTTTCTTGAGAGCTAATAAAAGGTGTGCTTCTCCTTATCTCCTATGCACTCCCAGTAAGTAACTTCGGGGGATCCTTGACTTCCCTGTAATCTACGCCCTGTCAACTAAAAGAAGCAAATTTCCTTTTCCTCCCTTTTTGAGTGATTGTAAGTTTGAATAATATAGTACCAATGTAAGCGTGAGCCTTGTGAATTACATAACTTTTGTATCAGTGTAATTGTAAGCTTTGTGATTTGTATAACCTTTGTGTAATGCATGTCTTAGGTGTCGCTTCTGCCGGGCCCTACTCATAAAAGCTAAGAGATACCTCTGATACCAGGAAGTCCGGACAGAAAAATGTCACTATCGATAAATGTGGCTGAAACTCAAATTCTACACAATGCTCTGCTGGTCACATAGCTAATGTATACGTACTAACAACTCTGGACTATAAAAGTGAACTGTAAAAGCCTAGAGGGTGAGCAGAACCATTTTAGAAAGACCTCAAGTCTGGCTCTGCTCCCTGGATTCAAACTCAGAAATAAACTTCTTTCTACCAGTTCCCTGTCCCATTTATTTATTGGTATCAAGGGAAGCAGCCAAGCATTACTCGGACCATAACATTCTGACCTCTACTGGCATTGAGCCAACAACCTCTGAGTGAGACAGGAAGATCTCTAAGCACAAGTTGCAGTTAAAGGAACCACCTGCCTAAACCCTACTTCCAGGACATGTACTCCATTTCCCTCGGACCCTGTTAAAAAACCTGAATCCTGCTGGGCACAGTGGCTCACACCTGTAATCCCAGTACTTTGGTAGGTCGAAGCAGGGAGGATGGCTTGAACCCAAGAGTTCAAGACCAGCCTGGACAACAAACTGAGACCTCGTCTCTATTAAGGAAAAAAAAAAAAAGCCAGGCATGATGGCTCACACCTATAATCCCAGCACTTTGGGAGGCTGAGGTGAGAGGATTGCCTGAGCTCACAGGTTCAAGACCAGCCTGGGCAACTTGGCAAGACCTTGTCTTTACAATAAGTAAAAAAATTATCCGGGTGTGGTAGTACTTGCCTGTAGTTCTGGCTACTTGGAAGGCTGAGGTGGAAGGAATCACGGGCGCCCAACAGGTTGATGTTGGGGTGGCCATGAACATGCCACTGCACTCCATCCTGGGTGATGGAGTGAGACTCCAACTCCAAAAAAAAAAAAAAGTAAATTTAAATTAATTAAAAATTTAAAATTCAGTCCCTCAGTCGCACGAGCGACATGTCAAAGTACTGCACGCTGTAGCCAAGGCTGCTTTTGGGACTAGTGGTTACTGCTTTGGGCATCACAGATGCATAGCAGGAAGACAGAAGGACTTTTTAAAAACATGCCACAGCGTATA